GGATGAGAGCTTCATTTCCACCAAATGCTTAATATGTGGGAATGTTTTGGATGGTGGGCACTAAATTGTTTTGACAGTTCAAATCTAAATACATCAAGATACAAGTTTTATTAAAAATAAGACTTCAAAGACTAATTTTCTTGAACTACTTCAGATATCAGTTGGGAACTATATGGGTACAATTAACATTTGCCTCAAGCGTTTGTACTCCAAATTCAGAAGTACTAAACTATTCTATGAAAAGTAAAAGTGCATTTGACAAAAAAGCAACAATGCTGTTAGCATTTTCCAAGCTCGGGGACATTTTAAAGTGAAGAAAAATGTAAAAACTGAACAGTAATTAAATTTTGTAATATCTTTCATTTTCAATAAACAAATACATCTGTTAGGAAAGAAGCTGCTTTTTTTAATATTATATAATAATAAATGCATCATTTGTATACTTTACTAGAACTCAGTTTTAATATTTTTTGTTAGTTGCCCCTACAAAAATTTTCAATTTGAAATGAATGCAAATAAATTTGTCAATAAGCCTTATCACCAGCTAGTTTATTTTACAATTGGTATCATTTCACTTAGACACTTGCAGGACTTCATTGTGTTTATTTTATAAAGCTTACAGAATTCTATTATTCTACTACTTACATTGAAAAAAATTGTGGCATCGAAATACAGACAGTTTTAGAAATCCCTCGTATCAAAATCTTTCAGTAGGCTTACTCTCTACTGTTACAGTAAACAACCCACCAAGAACACAGAGAATAATTTGGGGAAACTTCAATTTCTCCATTGTGAATCACATATAAGATAGTATTAGTCCTTCATAGACCCTAAGAGAAGTACTGGTGGTAGGTGGCAGTGAAAGCAGTACTCCTATATTATCTACATATTTGTGCTATATAATTACAATGGAAACTTCTATAATTGTACCCTTCTTGACATTTTTAACTAGATGACCTAATATTTTGCTACAGATTTTACCATTGTTCACATTATACCAATACATCGTTTCTGAGATATGTAAGGACCCAGCTAAATGTATTGAAGGAAGAATCTTCAAGGTAATCAAACCAACCTTTTTATCACAGCATGTTGTATTTCAAATAGGTTTTTTTCACTTCTTTCCTGAATGTAGTCGATTAAATATTTCGTCGTATATCACTACTATGAAAAGTAATGCTTTACAATTCATCTGTTTGTTAGTGTTTCTCAGCACAACAGACTATAGAACAGGACTACTTTCTCAATGCAAAGATTATGTATATTCTCAGTTTTAGTAGAGTGTAGAGTTACTTACACAGTTTTACTGTTTCTGCCCTACAGAGAGTGTTAAGTACTTCCATCATTTCTTTCTACTCTCCATTTAACACACATTCTTCTTAAATATATGAACATAAGATTTTCCCTCTTAGATCAAACCTTTTACTTGGTATTTTTTATCTTATTCCACCTTTCTTTAAAATCTTTTCTTAAGTACCAAACAAATGATTTTTTTGTTTACACTGCTTGCTTCTGGATTTGTTACCAGTGTCATAGTGGAACCAGGTGGTCAGGTTTCTGGGAACAACCTTTTGTCGTTTCACTTACGTTCACTTGGTGTTTTTTTTAAGAATTTAACTTTTAGTAAGAGTTGAAGTATTATTGGTTTTAGATATTTTCAGGAAATGCTGATATAGGTTAGGGAGAGCAGCTGACTACTACAAGACTAAAATGAGTAAAATCTGTGAAACAGATTTTGGTAAGGGGCTGATCTTGGACTGACACTCAAATCTCTAGCCAGGTGAATTAAGTTATTTTCCTTTGTTGGCAGAAAGCTTTTGAAGAATATATTTTTGTGGGTTTTTTCATTTTTATTTTTAAAAGCTAAAGACCATCTTTGAGATTTCACTTATTTGCTATAAATTGTATAAAATGTAAAAGATTCCATTAAAGAATATTTTCCAACAGTGTACTATTGCAGTAACCAAAACTGCTTGAAGATTACTCTTAAAAACATTTTATTTTAAGAAAAAAGAATAAATAAAATTATTTAAATCAAAGTTTGCTTTTTTTTCCCTCCCCCCCCCAGATTAAAGTACTTACAGACACAGGATTTTTTACAGAGGCCTTTCATGAATTGTCTTTGCTTAACTCTGGAGAGAGAATTCCATGTAAAATACCTGCAGGGTACAGAAAAATTGAACAAATGAAGGTAAACACCGGTAAAGTATAACATCAATCTCTTAACACTCAATTCTCTTAATGAAACTGCACATAGTCCACATCTGCAATCTATTATATGTTCCTAAAATAATCCTAAATTTCTTTCAGTAGCCAGGTCAAATAGTAGGCATTGAATGACATGAACAGCAGGAAGAAAAAGTTTTGAAAACATATGTGCTGTCTGTTTTATGTAATGCAGATAATACTGTTGAAAAAATGATGTGTGATTTCATATGTAGGCATATGGATAGAGTTTTTGCCTCGTTAATGTCAAAATACCCACTGCCCTAGCCAAGAGCAGGGCAGCTGAGGATCAACCCCAAGCCCAAGCCATCAGGCACCTCTGTGGGGCTGGGAACAGGCTGTGAAGCTGGGCTGGAATATCAGCCTGCAGGCAGGGTCAGGATCAAGCCTGTTGAGAACTGGAATCAGACACAGCCCCAGGATGGCTACACAGGGTCATGGCATCTGGCTGAGGCTGGGCCAGGATCTGGGCCCATGGGTGGGCTTGGCTTGGGGGGCCTGTGGCAGTGCAGAGCTGCGGGTAGCTATAGACAGGCTCTACTGTGGCATGGCTGGGGCAAGGACTGATGGCTCTGGGGGCCTGACAGGGTCCTGGGCTGTAGGCAGGGTGGGAGGAGCCCCAGGAGGTACTGGGCAGTAAGACGTATTGGTGCCCTCAGAGCCTTGACAGTCACATAATCCTAGGTCAATCTCTGATTTTCTCTCTAACTAAAGCCAAGCAGTGATTGTGCCTTGATCACTAATGTGCTACGAGGTTATGAAGCTGTTAACAATTGACCTGGACCTATGCAGGCAGATATAGTCCAGAGTTACCAGGCAAGCCTCCCTCTTGACAGTTCCATACCCTTTCCTTGTTTCCAAGCACATACCAGAATAATCTAATGAGTTATTGCTGAACAGATGTAATCAAGGTTTCCTTTATCTGAGTGGTGCTTTTGGGTAGCTGTCACTCCGTGACAAAGTATGTGTGTCAGCACTAGGGAGCTGAACTAACATGTGATAGATGACTAGTGGGACAGGTAAGGACACCCCTTTTGACAGCAGTGTGGATTTAACTTGATTGTACTGCCACATTCTATACATGTAGTAGGATGATATTTCTAATTGTGTGATAATTACAGGCCGGTACTGAAAGGGCAATTCCTAATCCACCTCCATGACTTCATGTGTGCTTCCCTTACCCTGTGTTGTAGCTAGTGAAGCTGGCACTGCAGAGTGAATTGAGTTTTATGATTTGTTTTATCATTTGAAGGGAAATTTCATAGAATCATAGAATCGTTTGGGTTGAAAGGGACCTAAAAGCCCTTCTAGTTCCACCCCCCCTGCCATGGGCAGGGACCCCTTCCACTAGACCAGGTTGCTCAAAGCCTCATCCAGCCTGGCCTTGGACACTTCCAGGGATGGGGCATCCACAGCTTCTCTGGGTAACCTGTTCCAGTGCCTCACCACCCTCTCCGGGAAGAATATCTTCCTGATATCCAATCTAAACCTCTCCCCTCTCAATTTAAACCCGTTACCCCTTGTCCTGTCACTACAGGCCCTTGTAAAAAGTCCCCCCCAGCTTCCTTGTAGCCCCTTCAGGTACTGGAAGGTGCAATAAGGTCTCCCCGGAGCCTTCTCTTCTCCAGGCTGAACAAGCCCAACTCTCTCAGCCTGTCCCCATAGCAGAGGTGCTCCAGCCCTCTGAGCATCTTCGTGGCCTCCTCTGGACTTGCTCCAACTGGTCTATATAAATTTCCTCCCTCTCATCTCCCCAAACCCTAAGAAAGAGTTTCCAGCTGATGCATGGCCTGACTGTTCTTAATCTGCAGCCTCAGAATGGTTATAAACAGCACAGAGCAGCAGTTACTTTTTTAGCAATAGCCAACAAATCAATGTCTAAGCTATTTAATAAGGGAATAATTACAATTACATTTATGATAGGATGTCAAATGTTTACATTTAAAGAAACAGAAATATAGACAAGCACTCCTAGGATAACCTGCAGTGATACTGGTTTTCAAATGGAAAATTAACTTATTAATAAAATATTTCTTAAAAAAGGTGACCTTTATAATGTGCCAGTGACACTTTCATGCTAACTGCATGGCAAGACGAGAAACTGAAATCTGGTGATTTTACTCAGAGCACAAGTTACATTACATTCTGACTAGGTTGAGCTATAGAGTTACCAGCATCCTCACTGGAGTTAGTTCTACAAAGCTTCCCTGTTTATGGCTACAGTAAGGAACCCATTTACCCCTTACTGATGCTAGTCAGATTAAAGTGCATCTTTAAGTCCTCTCCTTAATTTGTATATTGTCTAAGAGCTCGCAGCATTAGTATGAAGTCTCTTTGATTTGTCACTTGGCTTTTTCTAACGGGGTTCACAGGTGAGTGTGCGGGTGAACAGCAGAGGAGGTTCAGCATTAGGTTTCTGGTTAGGGTGTGATGCACATAGAATCTAAGTGCTTGCTGGACTTTTGCACAGCTCTGAGAAGGACCCATATTCCAGGGAATGATGGAGATGATAGAGAGCTACATCTGAGTATAGAGTTAATAAAAACCACATAGAACCCAAGTGACAGTTGTGTGCAGAGCTGTCAGTTATGACAAAGGCTGGAAATGATCTTTACTTCTGCCTTTTCCTTCCCCTCAGTAGACTGATTTTTCTCTTGGTCAAAAAGTAAAGGCTTTTTGAGCAAGGACTAGAATTAGGGTTAGGGTTCAGAAAATTGAAGCACATATAAGTGAAGTAATAGTTGTTTTTAGAGCCCTCAGGGAGGCTGAAGTCTAAAGTTCATCTTGACCTGTAGCTCTTGTTCTTGTTCCATTCACAGATCTATGCTCTGGTGAATAGCAGAGGAGCCATGTGCTAAGTCTGGAGTTAGGTTGGGGTTCAGAAATGTACCTGAAGGCAGTTGATGGTTGGTTAGTGTAGAGCTCCTAGAATTTGCAAAAGGATTTTTGTTGGTTTATGCCTTTTTCTCCCCTTGTTTCAAGTTGAAGAATTCTGGTGAATGGCATAAGAGGTGTAGGGGTAGTTCTGGGTCTCAGGTTATGATTCAGAATGTAAAGCCCATAGAAGCCAAGTCATTGTTGGTAGTTTCAGAGCTCTCGAAGTGTAGTTGGAAATACATAACACTTTTCCACTACTCTGTTAACTCAGTTATTTTATACTCATATTGTAACACATTGCTTATTTTTGGTTTTGTCCATTTTACAGGCCTTACAGAAATTTGACTCCTCAAAGCCTCTTTTGACTGTTACAAATTTACAGGTAAAAAAAAATCTGCAAAAGCTAAAATGTTATGCTAGACATAAATATGTATTTCTCTGGCAACAGTTAGATATTATTTGGTTCAGAAAATATACTTTTTATTAGTAAAAAACAGTATATAGAAAACATACTCTCCTTAGTAGTTTACCATTTCCTAAATTTTAAATTTTATGGCTGTCCTTTCAAGTGAGAGGCAAGTACCGCTATCACCATTTTTCAGATGGGAGACCTAATACGTACAGATCTGTGACTTGTCTGCACAGAGCATACTAGTACAATAATTCAAGTTTTGTCATTATATGTACGATCTGGTGTTTATGCTGCTAAAATACTGAGAATATCAATCATCTAGTATTATAATTTCTATCAATCAGAGCTGTATTCATAGATTTGCCCTAATTCAGATTGGGGTTGAAGTCCATTTCAGAGAGGGGGGAGAAAGGTGAATCTGTAAAGCAGTTAATGAACAGTAATTTCTCACTTTAATTAAAATCACATATTTGTCATGTGTTTCTTTATTATTTCAGTTTTAATAATTTTCTTTCACTTGCCTTGTCAGACATCCATTGAGCTAGTAAGGGTTAATGTTAGCAGGATGTGGAAAAGAAGCTGTACTATAAACCCAAACTGATAGAGAAAAACTTTTTTTTCCTCCACTTTTCTCTCTTTTGTTTACAGTAAACTTGTGTGTCTCCTACAACAGTTGATATGAGAAGATATAAATGAGATGTCTGTCTTGACAGCTTTTGATCCCACTAGTTTCAGATTATTTTGAAGTTGTGCTTTATCTTGAGCTTCTGATTTGAACACTTCACAGTCTATATGGGACTCTTACTGGTGTCCTTATGATTTTGCACATCTGTGTAGACTTTCCACTTCTAAATGTATTAATCTAAAGTGAGAATATTAAATTCAAGATAAAATAAGGATGCTATAACAAATAAAGAAAAGAATCTATGAAATATGGTGGAGTGGTCTGATACAAGAATTTCTTTTCCTTCCGTAATCATTCTAGTTAGGGTGAATTGTAACAAAAGACTTCCCTTTGCATTGAGATTTCTGAACTGGAGATTTACCTACATAGTTCTTGTGACCACCTTAGGTTAAAGAAAGCTACGGACAATGCAGAAACTGGAAATCAGGCGGAGTAATAGCTATAACTTCATAGGTGCACCTTTGAATGGAAAACAGATCACTAAGGCTGTAGCAAGTGTTACTAAGGGGTGAATTAAGTTTGGACAGGAAAACAGCAAGTCATCCATAATGACAAAGAGCATATTACTAATAATCATGTTAATTGCTGATAAACATTATTATTAATAGAAGAACAAAAAAAAAGTAAAGTATGTAATTTCAAATAGTCCCACTTGTTAACTTTTTTGTAGGTACTGGAAGACATACTTAATTGCAGTCTGTCTTTAACAATGTTGCCACTGTGCAACCAACAAATTGTGAATAAATTAACCTTAGCCAAAATGCATTTAATCATTTGCCTTTCTGCCACAATAAATAATATACCTGAAAAAGTGGAAAAACACATCTATTCTGTTGATAACAACAGCTTGAAGGACCCAAGCAGAATTACAGCATCAAATGTAAAAGGTAATTATAAGGGTGGTGGAAAAGTGCATTTATTCTGCAACTTGTTTCAAGCATATGTTTTCCACTTTTAACTGCATGTGCATTAATGTGTCTTAAGTTTTGCTGGAAAAATCAGTCATTATTGAATTAATAACATTAAGATTTTTCAAGTTTTTATTTAGCTAATATCCCTAATATTATTAGAGCTGCGTTCCATTCTTCCTCACTTATTTTAATATTGAAAGTCCCAATTATAAATAGAGATAAAAGGGGCATATTCTTCAGATTACTGAGAATGCTTTGTTTCTGTGTCTGTTCTCTAAAATTTCATGTGAAATGTATTTTGACAGTTGATGCTGATAGGAATTCAAGACAACAGGAAAAAAGAGGCACAACGGTGCAGCTCGTTGACTGCAAAGATGACTTAAATATGGCCACGCTGAAGGTAATTTTGGTTTTTAGGAGAAAAGGCTTAAGAAACTACAGATCATTCAAAAAACATTGCTAATGTTTTCAACGGAACAGAAATGATGATGGGAGGATGGCATGAATAAGGGGACCTGAAATTTCTAATCTGGTTGTAATCTTACAAGCCATACATGAATCCTGGTGGTTTGGTGCAGTTTTTCAAGCTGTCTAGATTATGCTATATAAACGTCCATGGGAAATACTGTCATGAACAGGTCTCAGAATGACTCTTTAAGCAACAAGGGTAAAGACTGAGTGGGATTTTGAGGATAAAAACATCTTCTTTCAGGGGGTGACAGCTGTACAACATGTCATAGACTCTTTCATGGGGAAGTATGCTCTACAAGTAAATGGAAAACCATCCTCTACCAAGTATGAAATATCTCAAGTTTTTCATGTTCCTCTTTTTGATAATTTATTTTGGAGATAATATTCATAGAATCATAGAATGGTTAGGGTTGGAAGGGACCTTAAAGATCATCTAGTTCCAACCCCCCTGCCATGGGCAGGGACACCTTCCACTAGACCAGGCTGCTCAAAGCCACATCCAGCCTGGCCTTGAAGACATCCAGGGATGGGGCATCCACAGCTAATGAGCTTCTTTGTTTGAAGGGGGTTAGTTGGTTGGTTAGTTTTGGTTTAGTTTGTTTTGTTTAATTGTAAGGTTCATGCTTGGCAGTTTCACATCACAAAAAGACCAAAACTGGGGCCTGACCCAGTTTCAGAGGGGTCTTCCACTTTGGAAGTATCTACTTTTGGCCATTGTTACAAACAAAGTAATGTATAAAATACATCTGGAGAAATGGAGGATGATTTTGTATGGCAATGGGTATATGCCATACACTAGAAACCGCAAATTTTTAGTAGAGCTTGAAAATAACTTGAAAACAGCATCTTAAAAATAACTAAAATAGAAATGTTAAATAAATGTGAATGGGGTTCATTTAAGAGACATAATATAATTTTTACCCTTCTGATTTTTCTTTAAGCATTCTAGTATTTAAAAAAAAAAAAAATAGAGCTCTGAATTCATTGGGGAAACCGGTCAAAAAATATATTGGATGATACCAACTTTTGAATAATTCTTGAATTCTGCTCAAAGCTCTGTGATTGAGATTTTATTTAAAATTAACTTCCTTTTAGATTCGGTTTTCACAGCTTCTTAAAGCTTTCTTTGTCAGAAGGACTAAATTACAGTTGAACTTTCAGGATACATACTCAAGTTTCTGTCAAAGTATAGATAGAAAAGAATATAATACTTCTCACAACATCTCTAATGTTGCATTTTAATGCTGTGTCTTGTGATTTAAATTTATTAAGCATAGTAAGAAGTATAGTATAAAATTATCAAGTATAGCTATAAGATGAAGAGAAGAGTGAAAAATTATTGAGTAATATTGCTAAGCCATAAAATACGTAGTTAAGCATGAACTGCAATAGTACAGGCACAGTTTAGATGTTCCTACTTTAAACACATTGAATCTGTAATCCTGGAAAAAAGCAAAATTACCCCTCCCCCCCTGCTATTTATAGAAAAGGCATATTGTGTTCACATTGATTTGTTTTAGGGTGCTGTGATAGGAGTTTGTAAGAGAATAAAAAACTTTAAAATAATTTTATTTCTTTCATTATCTTTGAAATCATACAGTGTGTTCTTTTCCAGGGGATTTTATTGACAGAAGTGGAAGAAAGTCTTAGCCATCTTGTGCAGAACATACAAGACAAATATGAGGGGGAGATATCTCAGTGTTCTGCTGAAGATTTAGAGGCTCTTACTGAGGCCAGACTTCAGCTTGCTGCTATTTCTCAGCAAAGGCATCAAGCAGCTTTCACGTAAGTAATATTATGAGCCACGTTATGTTGCACTTCCTTGACTCCAGAATATAAAAAAAAAAATCAAGTAATTTTAATTTTGAATCCTCTGTGTCTACATTAATATTCTAAATCTTAGTCGTCCGCCATAACAACCCTGCTAGTACATCTACAAATGGAAGTTACACTGGCATTTCATTTTTCATTTTTGCTTTATTGTACTTTTTAAATGGTCATCAGTTACAGGCCAATGATTTCTCTGTGAGGTGTGTTTGTGATACATTGTTATACAAAATAAAAGAAAAAGCTGCAATGTTCACTTAAAAAGTCTTGTTTAAGTAAAAGTCAGGGTATGTTAGGTCAGGCGTTTTTCATAATTTTAAAGTATACAGCAGAGCACTAACGTTATCTCTAAACTACTGAGTTCTGCTTTGTTCTAGTACTCCCTGTGTTACTGACCTAAAAGAACATTTCCTCTTGATGTACTTATTGCTGTCAAAGTACAATGTGAAAAATATATTTGAAAATTAATTTGATTAAGAAGCAACCTTTAAAATATTAGAATAGACTTTAGCAGGTATTAATTATATTGTTAGCAATAGTGTGTAAAATTTACATGATCTCCCAGATGTTTTCTCCAAATTATAATTTCAAAATTCTATGATTTTTTTTGGAGTTTCTGATTTCTTTTGATGAACTTAATGAAATTACAGTTCTGCTGTTCTTTGAATATATGTGGGATACAAAAATATATTAACTCTTTGTAGATCTTAAATTCTGAACATTGTTTTGGTCTTTCAGCTAGGAAGATTCTTTTGTTTAGCATACCTGTTAATTAAATTTAATTTGTATAAGGAGGACGTTTTGATTAGTGTCAAACTTTTTATCTAATTTTTATTAGGTTGAAAAATCTTTGAGGGTACAAACTGCTAACTAGAGATGCAGCATATAGAGGTGTAGCACTGTCACTTGCCAGACTATATGGACATTAGCTAGAAGGTAATCAGCATCTTTTGTTAGGTCTAATCTGACGAAACACACCAAAATTATTACTGTAATCCTTATATTATAGTAAGCACTAAGCAAAAAGCAAAAAGATTTTTTTTTTTTAAATTATTGTTGGAATACTGCTGAAGATTCCTTTAACACTCATTAAAGTTCAGCTGTTCAGCTGGCCAACAGATAAACCAGTCTCAATGTGGTTTTTTTATTTTTACCCAATTAACAGAACAGAAATACTTTCTTTGATGTCAGAAGCAAACTATCTTCCTTCTCCCAGCTCTCTTAGGTGAATAAACAAACCTCCAAATTAGATAGCCTTTAAACAGTATAATTCCTTTTTAGCTGCTATGGTACAGCAATAAAAAAATAAAATTAATAAGGACAGGAGCTTCACAGTGCTATATAGACTACTGAACTGAAAACAGTGAGGCTACCGCAGCATGGCCTTTCACCTGGGTTTTGTTTGGATTTTTTATAAGATAGACGTTTCCCAGAAGTTTAGATATTACGACTGTAGTAACTTAGTAGTAAAGTGAAGTAGCGAAGATGTGAAGTAAGAACATGTAGGCTATTTGTGGACATTTTTCATCATGACTATTCATCTATCCGTGGTTTTTGAATTAGGTTAATTTACCATAAATTTGAAAAAGAGAAAACAACAAATCTCTGCATAGTGACCTCATCATGCTTTCAAGTGCCATGTGGATTTAATTCAATTATCATATTAGTAACTAAGGACCAGTGTGCAGACATAGGAAATATCCAGTTTATAGACCCAGGTTAGCTTGATACTAGGCTTGGTAAAACCTGTACCAGTAGAGTTCTGACCCAAACTTTCTCATCCTGCTAAACAGGTTCCAGTATGCAAGCCATTTCCAAAGCAGGTCCCTTCTTTTTGACATGCAGTTATACCCCGGAGTCCAGTTTCTCTCTTGGCTTATAACTTGTCTCAGGTTGAAGAAACATTAGAGTACCAAGGGTTCCAATGGTTGTCAAGCATTTTATGGATCATTTTTTGGAACTCTCAAATTTTTTTTAATATATTGGTAGTAGTCAGATAGCAGGGGAAAAAACAAAAACGAGCAAAAAACAACCAACCCACCAACAAGCAAAGCAAGGGTTTGGGATTTTTTTAACCTATTTTACAATTTTATTGCACTGCCAACCATGGAAGCTGCTGATATATCTGCCTCAGATAGAAATGAAACATTCCTTCAGACAGCTGAATGTTTCCTGCCTGCCAGCCTAGAAATCAAACTTTGCATGATATTACAGAAATTCATCATATTTTTTTCTGTTGGTGAAATGACTTAGTGGTGAAATTGTTATAGTCAGCTGTACTTTCCTATTTTGATCATCTTGTCACTTTCTGATTCAGCTGATAAAAGGATGTGTGTTTTGTCAAGGGAAGTATATAGACACATCACTCTTGTTGACAGCACAAGAGGGTCACAAAAATTTCAGCTTCTACATTACAGCCTCTGTCTTGCAAAATATTTATGCCTCCGAATAAGTTAACGTATAGGACTAATTCCACTGATCTCAAGGAGAGTACTTACATGGTAACCCCCTAATTATGTGAGGTTTCTAATTACCCAAATATGTGCTTGTCTGCTTATGTGAGTACATTGCTTAAAACAATACATATATGAATCTTTGGGCTTGTGGTCTAAATTTTTCTAATGAAATTTATATGTAAGCATGTAGGTAAAAATGGCCTCATTTTCAGAACTGCTAAATGTTGACAACAGTAGTGGTCAGGAAGTTAGGTTACTATTCCATAAAAGCCTGTATATACCCTTAGGGGTGGCACCTTCTCCAACTTATTTGAGAAATGTTAGCCATAGCATCTCAAACAATGTTTTGAAAAATGTCAGGTTTTGCTGTAATTTTAACTTTGATGCCTGATTTCAGGGGATAATTCTTCTTAATAAAAAGAAAGAAAAGCGGTTGGAATATTTCACTGCATTGTCCTCACTGTCTCTTTTGCTTTTATAAGCAAATTCTGTTTCCTCTTTTCCACTGTTAGAGAGAAGGTTATCATCAAATTCAGCATTGATTTATTCTGGTTTCGTTTTGTTGAATAAAACTGAGGTAAAGGGACAATGAGAAAGATTCATAAGGATTGAATTCTGAGAGCTGCAAGGCAAGATATTAACAGTTTTGGTTCTCATTGTTACTTTGGGGTCTATTTGTGCTGAATTGGTGTAATCCATCCAGTTCTGCATCACAGAAACAGCACGCAGGCTAGAATCAGAAATGACAGGAAGACTTGAACTACCCTCTTATCTCTGGAGGTTATCCATCCTGTGGTTAGATACGTGTTGGCAGAATAATGTGAGTAACTTCAGAGTACTGCTTCTTTCTGACTTCTTTGTGCATGAATCAAGAACTTTGCCTTTCCAATAATTAATCTAGAACTTCTCAAAAGCAGTAAAATAAAACAGAACCTGAATATCTCTTTCATTAAAAGCTCTTCACAGTGTTCTGGTAGTGTTAAGAGGACTTAAGGTGTTCATAAATTAGTTTTTTCTGTTGCTTCATAGAAGCCAGTCTCCATGTAAACAAAGTCTCTCTATGTAAAAAGACAACATAGATGAGAATTTTGGTGATACATTTTTAACAATGAAGCTGCTGAAAAGTCTTTAGGAGGTGAGCTAGGGATACCCTCAGGTACTTTTGCATTATGAGAAAATATGTTTAATTGAGTAGAAAATAAGTACAATTGTAAAAAAAAAACCCCTACAAAACAAAAAACAACCCAGACCCAAAATCTTTTAGAGAAGAGGTACAAAAGTAGGAGTTTACAGATGTAAGCGAATATGTACAATTAGAGGTGGAAAACTAATACCATGGGACACTGGTTTGGGCAGTTCTCTGAATATTTTGAATAGTGTGATCTTTGGGCAACAAATCCTGTTGTGAAAAAGATCTTCTCACTGTGTAAGTGGTATGGTGAAAATAAAAGTATTCACCAAGTCCACTGTTCGGGATATACATTTCTGTACATGTCATGAAAATTGAACAGTGTATCTGAAAGGTTAAAAAAGACAGCGTAGAAAGGAAAAAACCAACCAGTAGTTAGTATTTTAAGAAACCTGACAATATTTTCGGATTTCAAATCATAATTTTTTGAAATGTGGGCTTGAACAGTGCACCAGTTCTAATAGTGTCTGTATTTTTCTAGATGCTGTTTGGAGTGAATTCCAGAAAACGATTGATGACTAGGGCAGGGGGCAGCAGACTCAGTGTCATGTGATTGCTTGTGAGGTTTTGCCGGGGTGGCAACAGACTCCATTTTTGCTTGATGGTGTTTACTAAGATCCTGTGAGCATTTGGTCACGAGGATTTAACAGAAGGATTAACATATAGTCTGGAAAGGCTTTAAGAAGGGAGGTGTTTTCTTGCCTTTCCAGGTGTGGATAAGATGCAGAAATCTAATAGTATATTCTGTCGTTTTCAGTATTTTTACATCTTCTAACTTCTAAAATCCCACCCCTGAAGACAGATTATGTGTAACTGAAAGGTATAGTGGAGTTCTGCTTTGATTACTCCAACAGAACATGGTATATCTTGGCTTATCCATTATTTCCAGATTATGTCTGTTACTGGCAAAACTTTTTCTCTTACTGCTGTTTTCTCACTTTCATACTGCAGTGCCTACCAATTCAGAATATACTCTGAGTGCGTTTTTTTTGTTCTACTAAAGCAAAAATCGGTAACTGCTGATAGACATCTCTGATGTAGTCAGAAATGAAGTATGTATTATAGTAAAAGCATGATATGGCTAATAAAATAATTATTTTTTAATAGTGTTGTTCTGTATCACAGTGTTGCTATGGCTTTCTCTGCTATTCGACTTCTCCAAGATGCAAAAATTTTTAGGACGAAAGTGACACATTTTCAAGCAGAAAAGGATGAAATGGAATGTTTGGTATGTGGATACATGTTTTAAACTATTGTTTTTTACTCTGTGACGTCTTGTATTAAGTGTGGAGTGATTTTCAGAATACTAGAACATAGCAGTCGTCAGTGTTACATGGTTACTATTAACCTGGGGAGAAAATGCTGTATGACTTGCTTCAGTTAGCTGCTTGAGTTTATTCAGTGTACCTATAATCATAATTTTAATTTGTATGTGGTTAGGAGTTTCAGTTTTCATTTGTATACCCAAATGCCAGCACTACCTTCTTTTTAAAAAAAATCCCAGAGAAACAGAAAGTGGAAAAAATAGCTAGCAGGTGAAAATCTTGTATTATTCGCTTAAGTGGTTTAGGTTTTTTGATTGAAAACCTGCTTCAGAGTATCCTCTTTCAAAGACCCAAACAGACCTGTTCACATCATTGCCTTGTTCCAAATTTAACAAGATTTCAGCTGACTTCTGTTGTCTAGCACACAGGGATACTGACCCACACTTTGGAAAGCCAGTGTACAAACCCTATTGGTAATACACCACACAGTCGCTCTGGAGCGCACGGACAGAGCAGCTGAGCAGCGAGGCCAGATTTTGTAACGTGCAGAACGAGACTGGACTTGCCTGCCTGCAGTGTAATTATTCTCTGTCTGTGTTGCACATCAGGGTCTTCTGCTTTCTGCACTTGCTCCTACATTTTCTTAGCACTGCTCTGTAGCCAACAACTCAGTTCTGGCTTTTTTTTTATTTCCTCAGTTGCATCAATGCAAGTAATTAATGAGGATTTTTTGTATGAGTAAAACACAGGTGGCACAGTGTCCATTTGTTGCTTGCTGGAACAAATCTTTAGAATGTGGACTGTAGAATTTTAGGATAGCAAGACTGGTTACAGTATGTGAAGATGGAAGTTGAGCTGAGAATTCCTCCAAACAGTTCTAGCACTATATTACATAAATATTTGTTTCTAATCACTGGAAACACTAAAAACTAGAAATCAAAAATTAAAGATTTCATACCAGAACTTGATATTGATCCTGCTCTACAGTTAGACTGTCATGTGCCTTAGAGTTTTGTGTAATCTTCCTGTTTGGGAGGAATAATGTCCAAACTGTTAAAATTATTCTTCATGAGACATACAATCCATGGATATATTTATGGACTCTCCCACAAAAACTGGTTTAATTTCCATTTGTTACAATTCTTTTTTTACCTATAGATTAAAAGATGAATAATAAATGGACTCCTGTTATTAAAATAATAGGCATCTACCCTTCAAAAAACTGCCAGTGATAATTATGTTATTTATAATATATTTTTATTAATTTTATTTGTTTTAGACTAATGCTGCCCTGTTGCTCTGTGTGTAGTTGAGTAGTTGACTCAGAAAGTAATCACTCTCTTGCTTTTGGAAATTATTAGGTTTCTTACGTTGATGATGCTCGACTGTCTCACAGTGTAACAGCTCAAGATCACATGAGTGTACATCTGTGGCTGAAGTGTCGTACAATGTTAGTGACTGCACTAGTAACACAGATACATGGCGTTGGTGATATGGAAGGTATTACCCTTTTCTGGTTTAGACTTTTGGAGTACAAGGGGGTAGTGGGCCTATTCAGACACAATTCTTGTTCATAAATGAAAAATATTAACATTAATTCTGGGTCTGTATTATCACTGAGCAATTATTTGTTTTAAATTCATCCAATGCAAAATGGAAAATATATTTCTGAGCACAGCCTCTCACTAGAACATGTAAATACAAAGCATTATATTAATGTTTATTTAATGATTATTATCTTTTGATAAATCACTTGTGTGTGAGAAAGTGTCAAATGTTCTCCTGTAATTAAAGTTAAATAAGTATGCCTGTTTTAAAAAAACAGTTGCTACATACTTCTGGTTTTAGAATTTTTTTTTCACTTTTTATAACTCCAGTAAATGGAATGTTCCTATATATCTCCTAAAAATGTTCCAATTCTTTTTTTTTAAGAATTTAAGTGAGATCCTACGAAATACATTTATTGCAATTTGCTTATGAATAGAATGATTTTAATTTCTTAGCTCTATGAACTTAGTGTAAACTCTGATGCTCACTTAAGTATCAAAATCACAGTGTAGGTCTGTAGCCAAACTCTATTTAACCTCTACTGGATAATTCCCATGAAGGCTGTTACTACTTTGGAATGATAACCCAGATCAGATGTTTGAACACGAAGAATATGTTTTATGGGTGTGAATGACATCTGGTATACCAAATCCAATTATTTTCTGGTGGCTTACATATAAAGAATGTATTTGGATGGACTTAAACCAAGTGCAGTTCAAAAACTTAAGTGGTTTTTCTTTCTTTTAAAAGTAAATTTGGCACAGGATTGATGAAATGGTAAATGTGGAATTTACGATGTCAGATTTTCTGTAACTGTTTAGTGTGGAAGAGACTTTTAAGAATGGTATAAGATACTGTAAAGTCTTTTCTATTGTATTTTTACTATTCATATATTCTCTTCTTTTAGAAAATTATGTGGCTGAACGCCGAAGAGTGATAGAAGAAGTAATACTAGAGGCAGAAGCCTTTGGTGATATTGAGACTCAGGCTGAAATGATGGTGCAAGCTGCTACTCTTGACCTGCAAGAAAAACATCCCATGGCAGGCATTAAACTTCTTTTGCAGGTTTGAGCACAAAGGAGAAACTGTTCGCTTTTCTTCGCTGCATTTCTCATGTAGTCAGAAGAGCTGATGCCAGCATTAAATAAGCTTGAAATAGTGCCTCTAAAATAGATTTTTTTTTTTCACTTTATATGATTTGTCCTCATAAATAGACAGCAAAAGTAGTAACTACTTTGGTTTATGTTGTCTATGTCCAAACAGAATATCATCAGTTTACTCCAAGAGGATCCATTTATTTCCCCTCCAGCTTCTTTGACTCTTGTGAAGAGCATGCTTCTGCTGGCAGACATACTAACACTGCAGACAGCAGAGGATACAGAACATGGCTCTTCTACAGTGGAAACGTTGAATTTACTAACTTTGGCACATGAGCTTACCCTTAAAGTGGTGAGTATATGTTGGTGATTTATACAGCATTTGCAAATCCTTCCAACAATCATAATTATCTATTCTGGAAGCTATTTTTTTAAATGACACCATTTTGTGGTCGCTGCAGCCAAGGCTGCCCTTCAGCTTCACATTCCCCACCAGCCCCTCCCTGTTGGTGAGAACAAGGTGCAGCATGGCTCCCCTCCCTGTCGGCTCCTCTATCACTTGGATAAGGAAGTTGTCATCGACGCATTCCAGGAACCTCCTGGCTTGCTGTGCCCTGCCGTGTTGTCCCTCCAACAGATATCGGGGTGGTTGAAGTCCCCCATGAGGACCAGAGTTTGTGACTGTGAGGCTGCTGCTATCTGCCTGTAGAGGGCCTATTTCATCAAGAGTTCACTGAAATTGTTAATTTGCTACCAAATTCCTCTGCAAAGAAGACAATTACAAAATGAAGTGAAGGAGTTTGAGCATATCAAGCCCTTTTCTAGTGCTCTTTTACAAGACACTTTTGAGTTCCTGGGTTTTACAATACCTAACTTACTTTTCAAACTACTATTTAACTTGCTGTCTGCAATTTGAGTTTACAAAGCATACTCTTTTCATAGATTTTTGTTTGTGGAGAACCCATTGAACATCAAATTGAAGACAGTACATTCACTTGCCTGGTCCTACCTACAAAAAATATCTACTTGCCACATATCAACTTGCTAGCCCAAGTCAAAATGAGAATCGGTAAGAAAAATGCAAGTCATTATTATTTTTAATTTTTCATTCATTTTCATTCATATTTCATGCAACAGCAGATGAACTGATGCATCAGAAGTGAATGTAGTAAATAAATACTTTTCATATACAAAATATAAAATACTTTGAAAACCCACAGTAGGTGCTTGTTTGGCTCCATGCAATGTGTATAAGCAGGGTAAAATTCTTATGGGAACTATAATCAACAAAGGCTTAAATATTAATGTTATAGCTTGATAAAACTAATGACAACTTATTTTTTTAAACTGGAAATTCACAATACTTTTCCAACTTCTGTACACAGCATTCACTCTGTTAAAACCTCCCCTATGCATTCCATCTCACTGGAAGCACTTATATAGGAACTAACTAATGGTATCACGTTATATGGGATCATAGTCATAATTTTCTATCCCAATAAAAGAACTACTGTCTGTTACTGTTGTCACCCTTCAATTTAACACCTTTTGGAAATATGCTGAATAGTGACAGAAGGTGACCTTTAAGATCTGAGATTTGTTGCTGTGTCTCAAGCATAGAGAAAGGGCTACTGTTTCCATGTTCCTTCTGCTAAACTTAATTTGGGGTATATCAGACTTATAATGGACTAGAAAGTCTAAAAATGACTGCACTTTGGTTCGCACTGTGGAGCAGCCTCAGAGTGTTCTGGATTCTTTTTCAGGAAGATGTGCTGCAGGAGCACATCAGTGCATGCCAAACACTTCTTTTTATGCAGCCTTAGGACTAGAATAGAGATAGTCCAAAGTAAACACTCTGAAATGCATCTGCTGTGGCTGTCGGGTCTGCAACACCAGCTGGTTTCTCTCGTGACCCACTCTTCCTCGGCTTTACTGCTTCTCAGTGCAGGCATGGCCAGACTCACTCACAGTGATGGCCACGACTGACCAGGTCCTCTTTCTGAATCCACATTTTTAGGAAGTCTATGAATACAGATGAATATTGGGGAGTATAGTATAAGAGTTATGTGATACATCAAAGAAGCTTTTAGAACTGTTTACTACAAAAGGAATTTGGGAATTTGGAAATGCTAAAAGAGGTTTAGGTTTTGGCTACAACTGCCAGGTGAAATAAAGTTATGAAGTGGTTTACTGCTAGTCTTTCCAGATGGTTTGTGAAAGGGTTGATTTGTGTAGCCTGAGTGTCTTTTAGATGGCCTAGATAAACCTCAATGACCTCATAAAGTAGGGAAACAACACTATATTATGTATTTATATCTATTAATCACTCTGATTTTTGAGGATTGGGTTGTTACAGTAAATGTCTAGCAGCATTTGTTCTAAGGAAGTTGCTTCTTTTTGCATAAATTGTTTTTCTGTTAAATAATTTACTGTCTTCTTTTTTTTTTTTCTCCCTTTAGGACACACATTAGCTGAAAAAGTAGCCTGTACACCTGCAAGAGGAGATCCACTGCAATGGCTCTGTGCTCTCAAACACTTAAAATCAGCACTGAAGCTTTGCAGAGCCTCTGCAACAAAAAAATTAGATATGGAAGCTGAACTTCTTTTTCAGATAGGTAAATAAAACCCTATGTGTACATCAGGATTGCCTTCGAGATGCATAACAGGCAATGTTATGCATGTGGCCTCTCTTAAAATGGAGACAATTTATTGTAAAAATAGAACAGATTTGGATATTTCTCACCCTGTCTAGCTGCAGGTCTCCCCTGTATTTAGTATCACACCAGCATAGTTCATTCATTACGCAACACATAATAACAAAACTGCAGTAGAACTTCTTCCAGCTATATGTTATCAAGGATCAAAGGGTGTAGCCAATGAGATTAAGGCACTGTAGAAAGCTAATTAGCTTGTTTGCATCTGTCTGAACTAAAGATGAGAGACTCAGAAAGTATTTCTAAATGATTTAACAAAGTGAATGAATTACACAGTGTTTGCATGCATTTGGATTTTAGTGGCATCATGTCTTACACCAGGAGGTGTGGCTTTGTTAAGATTCCAGCCAGAAAGACACTCAGACTCTGTAAAGTACCTCTTAAAATACCATTTATTGGAGTTAACACTACAAAGAAAAAGAGAATGCTGTAAATAATCTTACGTCCTTTCCAATGCTGAGAACCCCAAGTTGTGCAGTATTGAATGGGCTTCCAGTCAGGGGGTAGCACAACATGCAGATCCTGCCTGTGGAAAGCTTGCCTCCTTCTGGCCTTTTGAGCTGTTACAGGATTTTCTGAAAAGAAAACGATTTTATTCATCATTTCTACTGTCAGACAAAAAGCATATTCACATAAGAACTTCTTGCTGCACTTTTACAGAAAGGACAGGTGGGTAAACACTGGTATTGAGAAGATGCTGCCAACAGGCTCTGATGTTATAGCCAGCTGGCAGTATTTCTCCTGTGGCTAAAGGATGTGCACCACGCAACACAGGACTGAAGGCCACACTGTATGTGCAGCATAGAGCAGGGGAGAACAGGGCTGTGCATTATCTCCTCCATGGTTTTCTCATAAGCATCACTGCACATTATGATTCTGAAGTTTGATTATTTTAGCTACTCTATGAAGTAACACGCTATATGAAGTAACAAACATTGTGCATTGCATTTTAAACAAGCTGGAAAAGATTTTGCTTATCGGGAAGAGAATAGATAATGTGCTATGTTGTTCAGCTTTCCTGGAGGGAAAAACAGGTTGGGTCTTACAGAAAAAAAAAAAAAATCATGTAAATCTGCTTTCAATATTTTTTCCTTAGGTAAGGTGGAACGTCAGATAACAAAAGCAGACAGTAACAAGTCATCTGGAGCTGTTGAAACCCTTTTGGAAGCTATAAAACTTAGCCAGCAACATGACCAAAAATTTGAGTAAGAAACTAACTATATAACTTTGAAAATAATTTTAATCACACATGACCGTATTTTTTGACAGTTTTCTGAGACTTGGAGTGGGACTGCTGTTGGGAAGCATCTTTTATATTTTGGAGAATTTTCTGCTATTGCAGTATGGAAGAGCTACTGTATACTTATGCTCTTATTTTAAACAAATGCTGAGAACATTTAAAATTATATTTTAGAGTATACAAAGTTACAGCTTTCTGTTCTATTTCCAAATTTGTACCCTCTCTGTCAAGAGCAGGAACGGAGCTATCAGTTAAAGAGAGGTTTTATTCATATTTCAGAAGATGAGCTGTGGTATTCCCCCTTCCAGATAATAGAAATCCAGCTTGAAAAGGTTAGCAGACAGAAACAGTCAGGAGAACAGAGGCAGAAGTAGCACAGGAAATGTGTTTGTAACAGATATCAGGACAATGACTTTTGCATTAGTTATCAGCATAGAAGATGCCTGAAGAACTGAGCCAAGCCAGCCAATGAATTCTGTCAAGCAGCTCTGATACATTGGACTTCAGGGTGTTTTTTAGTTTCTTGACCAGTCTTAATGAATTACGTGCCATGTCTGGTTACAGACAGTGTAAAGGCAGCAATTTACCTTGCTTGTTTGGGTATTCTGTTACTTACGTTAATGAACCAGAACTCTGAACACAGAAGCTGTTGCATAGTAATAAACCTCTATGAACAGTCAGCATGTTGGAAAATAGTACAGAAATGGGCTGTGGTAGTGTTTTGCAAGTTTAATTTGCTACACTTCTTTAATTCGCTACCTTCTTTCTAAAAGAATGTACAGCAACATTGAAGGACCTCGGCTTTCTTATTTTAGAGAACTAAACATCCCGATCACCTTTATACAAGACCTCTGATAGCTACGAGATTGTTTAATTAAAGTTGTTTCTTGATGTCTCAAATCCCTTTTTATTATCAAGACTAGAAAGTTAACTAAATTGTCACCAACTAAGCGTAGAACTTGGCATCTTCCCACTTTAGTTTGCCCTGTCTTGAACTGTACAGCACTCTGACTTTTGTGTTTTGCTTTACACAAATCATACCAAAGCTGGAATTCATTGTACCACATAAACAGCCAACTGGCAATATGACCTTGTCCAGGGTAATAACTGCATGAGCAGATTGTTGCTATGCTTAGGAAAGCTAATTCATAGAAGGTGTCCGGAGAGACGTACAGAGTTGGGGGTCGGGGGGGGAAAGGCTGTTGTAAACTTATAGGGAATAGAAATGCTGAAGTTCTCCAGATAAGTCATTTTCAGCAGGTTGGGGGAAGTAATTCTGCCCCTCTATTCTGCTCTGGTGAGATCCCACCTGGAGTGCTGCATCCAGCTCTGGGGCCCTCAGCACAGAAAAGATACGGACTGGTTGGAGCGAGTCCAGAGGAGGCCACGAAGATGCTCCGAGGGCTGGAGCACCCCTGCTATGGGGACAGGCTGAGCGAGTTGGGCTTGTTCAGCCTGGAGAAGAGAAGGCTCCAGGGAGACCTTATTGCAGCCTTTCAATATTTCAAGGGAGCTTATAAGAAAGATGAGGACAGACTTTTTAATAGGGCTTGTAGTGGTAGGGCAAGGCATAATGGTTTTAAAGCAAAGAGGGTAGATTCAGACTAAATACAAGGCATAATGGTTTTAAAGCAAATGAGGGTAGATTCAGACTAAATACAAGGAAATTTTTTACAGTGAGGGTGGTGAAACACTGCCAACAGGTTGCCCATAGAGGTGGTAGATGCCCCATCCCTGGAAACATTCAAGGTCAGGTTGGATGGGTCTCTGAGCAACCTGACCTAGTTGAAGATGTACCTGCTTACTGCAGGGGGGTTGGGCTAGATGACCTTTAAAAGTCCCTTCCACCCAAATTACTCTATGATTCTATGAGTCTTTGACTTTTGCCTGGTTTATACTACTTCTGTAAAAATAACTGAAAGGAGAAGGAAGTACAGGGGGAGAACAGGAATTAATGAGCCCAGTCTGAAGATGTATTCTGCTACAGAGCTCAGAACAGAGAAGGTTCATCAGCTGAGCCAAATGAAGAAATGAGACTGTTTCAGTCACTGCGTGTATTTTTGCTGATTCTTGGAAGAGTTTGCCTGAAGACCCATATCCAAATTCAGCCAACCATGTTTCAGGGAAACCAGGACACTGGATATATGCCTCCATATATATGAGGAGGCATATGAGGAAGGAAGAGGAACCCATATAGATTCTGTACAGAAAGATGACTTCCCTTGCAATATTACAGTTTTCTTAATAAACATTCGCAATTTATTTATGGGATATTTGTTGCACATAATGCAAATTATATTTGACATACTCATATCAATGTGTTATTTGTTAAGCATGCCATAGGGATGTTTTAGACTCACTAAGACTTTAAAACAGGATCACATGGCTTTCTGAAAGAAGGTAGGCTTTAAGGAGATGATGAGGGCGGGATGAATGATTTATTGGGTGAGGCTGTCTAGCTAGTCTTATGCAGGAGTGAGATCGTATCGTTGTAATGCTTACTTTGATAGTAACACTGATTGATCTGTGGGTTGTTTCTTACAGGTTAATAAGAAGATCATACCTTGAAATAGCACTATTATATTTGCATTTTGCCACAAATAATGAGGATGTGTCACAGACAGATGAGATGGTGCCTTCCAAATCAAACGTATGTTTTCCATCTTTTGCGTAGTGGCCTCTTCAAAGGAGGAAATATGCTTCTGTTAGAACATTGTGCACCTTGCCAGACTATTACTTACAGTGACTTATAAATCATACTGATACTGAAAATCCTACTGGAAAAATCACACAAAGAAATCATATAGTACAGCAGTAGAATTTTATCTTGTTTGCTGTTATTTCTCATGTTTATTGCATGGAATGATAACATTTAAAATATTTTTCTGTATAAAATAGGAAGAAACAGAACCAATAGTTTTTTAATTTCTGATTATGTTCTAATTAATTTGTAACTTGCAAAGAAAACATCACATTCAAAGTTGGTTTTTAAGTGGTACTATTTATACTTTACCAGGTTTCAGTTTTTTCAGTACAAATATGAGTGCCAGCATGAGAAATATAAAAGGCTTTAACCATGTTAAAGTGGCTACAAGCTATAGATTCAGAGCACAGTGTGTAACACAATTAAGATTCTAGAAAACAGAAAATTATAGCAAAACTGTACACAGCAGTGACCGTAATATGATCAGCTCTGAAAAAATTTTTACAGAAGCAGCCAATTAGTATGCCCTGGATAATTTTTTTCAATTTTAGAAATCAATTCATGGTTTTATAATCAATGCCAATTTTTACAACTTCAAATAAAAATATACTTCTGTAAGTAGGAGGACTTTCTTCTCTACTTAAAATATATTTTACTATAATATATTTAGAATCCTAATTAGGAACTGGTGTGTAATTTTAGACCTCTTCTGGGGAACGCTCTTTACCTGAGGAGGCTCTGAAATCAGACGGCTACAAAGTCCAAGCCTGGATTGCAGTAAGAGCAGCTACACAGGTTGGTGCAATATTCCAAGGAAGTAATTTTTTTTGGTGGTTTTTTTTTTAGATTTCATCTTATGCTACTTACACAAGCAAACAAGACAATGTAAACAAGACAAGAATAAAGATTCCTTGAAATTTCTGGCATAGGTCTTATTTGAGGAAATGAAAAAGGGTGCTGTCTGAGTAGTTAATTTAATCTCTCTGGGACAGATCTGACTCTGTTTACCTCAACTTTGATTCAGTGCAAATAGAACAGCACACTGCCTGATAAGTGTGCACATGTATTTGACATGTGGGTAGACATCAGTGGCTTCCAGGTGAGGATATCTGATTTGAAATCACTTATGTAGTAATTAAGCTGTCAGCAGTAATGATTTATTTAAATATAGGATATACCATATGTCAGAGAGAAATAGAATATTTTCCTGACTTTTAAAAATACAGTACATTGAGTAATTAATTTTTTGTCATCATCTTACTACTCTCAGATTTTAAAATCTATATAGATACTGTAGTGAACTGGTTCTGAATAAAACAAATATTATTTTTAGGTCAGTGAAGCTGTGCTTGATTCTCAGCTATTAGTTGGAATGAAGAGTGTTAAAGAACACAGCATGAAGGATGCAGTCCAACAGAAAATCCCAGAGTTTGCTTCCATGGATATTCTTGCTTCGTACAGAGATTTCTTATCTGGTATTGCTTTATACCTAGTAATATTAGAACATTAAATAAGTAATAAATTATTTCTATCATATAATATAGTCAAACATTTAATATCTTATTTTCATTTATGGATAAATGTAAGTTAAATTTTGAGTGGAAAAGGAAAATCCTCATGCTGCATAGCAGTACAAAATACTGAGTAGACCTAATGCATCTTTAAATATTAGCCTGTGCATGTGTTCAATAGGTTAAAAAAAAGCATTATTTGCATACTGTGGCTCAGAAAGGGAGAGTGCACATACTACCCTACCTGTAGAAAAAGAGATGAACCTTTGACATAGAACTTCCCCAGATTTCTAGAGTAGGTCTTGGCCCCCCTATCACTCATTACTGCTTTTTTTTATTTTCCCAACACTAATTTAGAACAGATTCTTTTTCCCCCAGGTATATTTACTTTTTCTTGGAGATTTTAAGTATTTCTTTTGATTTTGCAAGACATGTTGATGTTGAATAGCTCATCTCCCCCTTTTCGCTCCTCCTCCCTCCCCTCCCACCCCCTAAAAAAACCTCAAACCAAACAAACCCAAAGTCTTGGAAAGTTATCTGCCTCGGAATAGGATTCTGAAAGTCAAAGTCAGTATAATAAAAAAAGTTTACTGTCTTTCCAGTCCAATGGATTATCATTTAGACATGCTTCCATTAGCTTGGTAGAACTTTGCCTTTGCCTGGTTTATTTCCAACTTCTGCATTTATTTTACAGATAATGGAGTTAATGAAATGGAAGTTTTTCATTTTTTAAAAAAAAGAATAAATCAGGGAAACTACAAATTCTGCGATAATGTTTGCCAGATGTTATATAAACACTAAGGCAAAATATCTATATTTCTTTTTCAACTGGCAACTATTAATTTAGTGATAAAGTTTTGGTTCAGTGGCTTAATTTCAGTCATCCCAAGTGACTGACAAAGATGGAATTGCTCTGCCAGATAGTTGCTGGCAAAGCTGAGCAATGCCTGCTTGCTGTACAGTGTTTAAACATATGTGTTTTGATGGGTTTATGAAAACAAGTGTTGTATGCTAAGACTTTCCATCAATCTGATTGTTTTGTACTAGTTCCATTTGCTCATAATTACAGATCATTTTTATTTTAGTAAATGCAGCAGGTGTTTCTCCTGATAGTTCTGTTAGGCAATACACAGAAGAATAGAAAATGTAGAAAAGCAACAGTAGGCCAAAATATATAAAGGTAAATTGAAATGGAAATGATCAGCACAGCATGCTAAATATTTTCTGTAAAACCATTAGTGAACCACATTGTTTAAGTTTCATATATAAACAGTGTGACTTTTTAAACTAAATTCTAAATGTTTTTACAATTGACAGTGAAATATCAGGAATAACGGAGACGTTCAGATTTTGTAGAAGCACACATCATTATTTTCTGGAAGTTTACTATCAGGAATTACTGTAACATAATGTTTGCTGTATTTGGAATGAGAAACAGAGCAGGGGAATTGTGTAGGCTTTTGAGAGAACCATGTACTAATAGAATGAAAAAAAAATACTGAATATAAGCAGTGATGTAGTGGTAACTACTGATTTTTTTCTTCCTCTTTTTTCATAACTTTAAGGCAGCACCAAAAAAAAAAAAATCCATAATCAGTAATACATTTAACTGTTAATGTGCTTAATATCTAAAAGCCAACAATAAACATTTCAGAGTACCTAACTCTTCTGAGTTCAGGTCACCAGGAAGTTCAACTGCTGTAGTTATGACTGAGGACTCCTAGTATTGTTTCCATTTACTAAATATCTGCTGTTGAACAATGTATAGAAATAATGGTTTTATAGTTAAATTCAGAGGGAGACAGGGCGCCTTGCGCTCGACTCCTTTTAGCTTCTTGCAAGAACCAGTCAGATTCCTGGCCATGATCTGAGATAAAGGTTTTCTTTACTAGTTCAATTAATATTAAAGCAGAATAGAAAGGATTTCCTCTTATGAAAAACATAACCAGGTTCACAAGTTACATTTTTAGTTATAGATTAATCAGTTCCAACACAATGCAGAAAGAGCTTCTGAGCTGCAACCATTCACTTAACGTTTATTGTTTTTGGATTTGCAGATGGATACAATGTCTCTGCATGTCCCAAAGCCTCTTCTACTGAAAACAAACAAATCACACAAAGCAAGCAAAGCCAAAGCGAAGGAGCAGAAAGTCTTGCCACCAAGGCCAGCCAGAAGAGACAGCCAATAACATGGATTCACTTAATTCACTACCACAGTTATTTAAAAAGACTATGTAACACAAACCTTCTATTTGGTATGAATCTTTTCTTCCTTCTTGAAAACTGCCATAGGTGAGATATTGTTCTTGGGGACCAACAGTGTCAGATTCAAAGGCCATCATCCGAGAGAGATTTTAGTTCCTTTAAATTTTTAAAGGAACATTTTCAGTTCCTTTAAATTGTATAAATGCAAAAAAATCTTCAATGAAACCCAGATTTATGTCAATTTACAAGTGTTGTAAGTGAAGATACTACCTTTTTCCAGAAGTCTTCATGATACCAGGAAAAGCATCCCTCAACATTTCATTGCTTTTACTATATCTGTAGCACTTAAAAAAAAAATTCGTAATCTATGATTATTTTTAGTTCTAGATACATAAGACTTAAGTCTCATCAGAAATAAATCTGTTCAGCTTGGGGGCCTGTTTGTGAGAGCTGAGTGTAGTGTAAATGGGAAGGCTGAGCCTTATTCAATGTGTTTTGACTAAACATACTTGGCTTATTTTGCTGTAAACAAAAGATGGTAACAGATAGGGCCTTTCAGGCACAGTAGGGATCCATTAATTTCAGGGCCCTAATACTGTGCATCTACATCTGATGGCCAGCTGCTGGATGTACCAGTGACGGCCTGATAGGTGAGGACAGAGCTAGACTGTACATACAGGTGCTGCCTAGAGAGAAACCCAGCAAGTCTGAACAGAATAATTTCGGAGGGGGTTGACTTATATCCTTGCAGCACCGAATGAAACAGAACTGTGAGGACAGTAAGGGAGTCATGTTTAAAGACAATCAATATAATTTTTGGAAATGCGTTTATCTTATATTGAATCACTTTACATATTTTAACATATTTTCAAAACTTATGAATATTGAGTGGATGTAGAAACTTTACTTTTTAATGGCAAATGATGAGGTAATAAAAATCTCTTTCCAAAGCTGCCCCCAGCTCAGGACCTGGATCATTTTCTGCAAGAGATGGACACCTTAGTTCTGTTTTTGACACAGGGATTGTTCTACGCATAGCAGAAATGCATTCCTTTCTTAAAAAGCATTTGCCTGAATATTCAACGTGTTGCCTTGAGAATTTCCCAGAAGAGCTACATGCTGTTGAATTGCCACTTGGTAGGCCAGATGATTCTTCAAAGGTACTTATTTTTTTATGATCTTTCAAAAATGTATGTTACACTTGCATTTTGCTCAGCTTCTTGCTAGTTCCAGTGATGGTATTTCCGAGAGAACTATCGAAGAACGAAATTATGCAGAGGATCAGTGCAAAACCAAAATCCTGTGCAAGCAGTGAATGACATAGTTAACAAATACCAATATCCTCTGTTACTCATTCCTGCAGAAATAATCTCTGTCCCATGCCCAGTGTATTTAGACCCTAGAAGATTAAGCAGAATGATATTTAAGATTTTATTATTTATTTAAGTTGGCTGTATTATTTGGTAGGAGTGAGGCTTTTAATCCTGTAGATCTCCATGTTTCATACCAAAATGTTTGCTTTTTAATTTGTATGCACAAGCCTCTATATTGTTAATTTGGTCTATAATAAGAACATGATTTTCAAAAAATATATAATTTATATTTTCTCCAAATTTGTTGAAGGCCTTGTGTGCCAGTTTTTTTCACTGATTATCATCTGGCTAGGAAATCAGTCTTTTCAGATCTCTGGCTTGTGAACAGCCTATATGAGCTTTCAAATGTAAGCAGCTCAGACTGTATTACTCGGAGAAATCCTGAACTGAAATTCTGGAGTCTACGTTGACCATGGCATATGAATTAAAAATTGAGTGGTAAAAGTCTCTGAAGAGGCAATGTAAAAATAATTGTCTTCAAAGTTTCTCCATCCCACTTCTCACATTAATAATTTTCCTAATGCTGAAAAATTAAAATGACAGGTTATTCTCTATAGTTTATTTTTTGCCTATTACATTCAGTATTAGATGGAGACAGTGGAGCCTTGAGGAGTAAGAACTTGTTATCTTATAAAAAAGAATTAAAATACTTTTGTGAAAGTAGCTCTTCTAGAGTTGGTGAACTTTCTGCAGTGTTGGACAGCATATCATTACTCATTTCCCAACAAAGAGCTGACTGTGCCACTGAATAAATTGTAAATATATGGTATGTGACATTTATAACAGCCATCGTATATCAAAAATTATTTTACTCTGTCTGCTCTTTTTTGACATAATTAGTATTACACTGTCCTAGAATAATAAGCTTCAGAGCTCACTGTCATGTTCGTGACAGGCACAAGCTGCATAATCATGTGTTAGCTTCACTGTTGTAGACAGCTAACAAGCATAAAGCTCTTAACTTTTTTTAATTCTAAGCTTCATTGATTTTTATCACAAGATTTTTAGAAGCTTTAACTATTCAGAAGGCTATAGAAGTTATTTTTAAAATGTTACTGTAATTTGATACTGAGATTTTTAACAGTACAAATAGATACAATTTTTGAAAGAATTATTTTTATGTACGAGGTTGTTTCACTTACACATGTCTTTGCAATTCTGTTTTTGAATCTTGAAGTTTTTGTTCAGCTCTGCTGAACAAAGAATCCAAATTACATTAAGAAGGCTATAATTAAAATTGTGTGCCCTGTTACATTTTGCATGCTTGGGTTTTATTCCACTCCATGATAATATTTAGGACTGGAAACACTTAAGTAAGACAGTTTGTTGTTTTCAGGCCTTTGAGAAAGTTGAATAGATAAATATTTATGTATGTGATTCAGCAGCCATCCAGGTTGACAAGAGCG